TTAAATTTTGCTGTTATCGGGTTCGATTCGTCTCGAACAGTTGGTACCCGAGAATTATTTGTATTCGCACATTTAACACTAGGTTACAATAACGATGCATGTATTTTATTATCCACAAATATAATCGTTCGTAACTACATTTCTATTAAAAATTGTTATATCCATTTATTTTTCAATAAAGAGTTGTATTTTTTAATAATAGAAGAACACATTTTTTCGCGGAAATCTCAATCTAAATTGAAGATCATGACAATGGTAACTGTCATTGATTCATTACCGAAATCATTGCTATCGGGAGTATAGTCCGGAAGATCCGGGATTCGTTCCCTCCTACAGCGGGGCCCCTAATATTCAACGAATCACTTAACTTTTCTTTGCGAATTGATCTTGCGGGGTCCGATGTAGAAGCAAGAAGTTGATCGTTCTCCATCTTTAGGATTGTTCTTGTCTTTGTCGGATATTAACCGGCGTGTTATCTGGCGGAGGGACCTTGATCTGGTCAAATTATTGGGCCAGTTATCCTCCACTGAACGTGGCGATAACGCAGTTTTTTTATAACGGTATTTTAAGACTTATATGATTTTATTCTGTTTAGTCAATCCTTCGCGAAACGGTACATATATCTTATTCTCAATCGCGTAATTTGCATAAAATCGCGTTTTTTTCGCAAATTTTAAATCGCGGTTTATTTTCGCGGTGATTTAATCGTTGATTTACATCGAAACTTCGTCTATCTTTTCTCGGACATTTTTTTTTGAAATTCTATGCAAAATACGCCAGTAGTCTAAGTATTTTTTTCTTCTAAATTGAAAACGATCGATAACTTTATTAACTATTCTTTTAATCATAATTGTTTACTTTATATAAAACTTAATAAGCTTTGTAATTTTATATTGATCATTAATCATAAATATCGTATTAATCGTTGCTTATCAACTATATCTGATCTAAAAAATTTCAAGTGAATTCTGCATTATATGAATATTTCGGACATTTTCGTGTAATAAATTATTTTGGATTACATTTTAAATTATATTTTATATTAATCTTTTATCAAACTTGCTTCACTCGAAAACGCTAATAGTTACCGGTAGGGTCACCCATGCCGGACAGGTCAAAGGGGATGAGTCAGACTAAGAGAGATACCATAATTATTATACAGAATTAATTCTATATTAGATATACATATAGAATTAATTATAATATATATTTTGTAATACATTTTTTATATACTTTGTGTAAAATGTTTTTAAATTTGTTGTAATATATTTTGTAATTATACATTATATAATTTGTAATTATATATTATATACATTTTGTATAATTCTTCGTGTATTATATTTTTTATATGACAAATTTGTAAAACCTGTTAAAGAAACCTATATATTTAAAAAAAAATTAAAATGAAAATTTTTCCTCCTCGATGGTATCTTCACCTTAACGAAGGCATTTGCCGGGTGAGGAGGTTTGAGTGCTCTAACGAACCTGAGAGCTATGCCGGCGGTAACGTATAACGTTTTTGAGTGAAACAAGTTTGATCGTTCTGAGACCGATTAATAACGTCATATATTCCGTCTTGATTATTAGGGGTTAAATTATTAATTAATGAAATACTTCAAGTAAGCGTTTGATTGATTAAACAGGGCAAAGAATTTTGTCCTTTAAAGAAAGGACTTTTTGTCTTAGTTTATCGGTCCCTTACACGCTCCTAAGGTTTTGACATTTAAATCGGGGACACCCTGTATATTTATTATATTAATACTTTTGAATATTTTTGAAAATGGAAGCAAAAAAGACAGTAATCGAGAGAATAGAAAAAAGGCAACTCAATACTCAACACGTGGTGCAAGTTTTAAAGTTTTATTTGGTTCAATAGTTAATAAGATAGTCACGCAAAGTTGTGTTACAAAATTTTGTTTAAAAATCGGTGTAATAAAATCCTCCTGAGGTAAAATTAGATTAGGAACAAAATTTCGCGTTGTCGCGTATTTATCTACAATCCTCTAATTTTACCTCAGGAGGATTTTAACTCACTCTCTTTTCTTAATTCCATGTTCTACAATTTTTATTTTATAATACTTTTTGATAAATCTAATAATTTTAGTGTTGTTTTAAGTTTTTTGGTGAAAATTATTTGTTTCTACTTTTGAATATTTTTGAAAATGGAAGCAAAAAAGACAGTAATCGAGAGAATAGAAAAAAGGGGTTCCAAAATATTTTCATATCCCCCTCGGAACTTGGAAGTGATACGATATAGAAAAAATTGATTTCTGAAAAACAGAAGTCTATCCTACTATAATTTTTCTATATTTTTATCCGTAATCTTTTATTTTTTAAAGAGTTTTAATTATTAGCAGCATTAATTAATTCTTTCACATTCATATTGATCACTCGATAATAGGTATCAGGTTTTCGCAAAATGTCATACGAAAAAATCGAGATATCTCTTGCAATATTGGTTAAACAAAATTAAACGTTTCTTTTATATCTTGTGAGATGCTACCCCCAAAAAATCTATTTCTTCTAATACTAGAATATATCTTTATACAATATACAAAAGATTGTGATTTTCGAAATGCGATAGTCTATTCTATTATAATTATTATATTTTCCTATAGTTTTAATCTTGTTCTTTGTTCTTTCGAATTCGAAGGAGTTTTAATCAGCGTTAATTAATTTTTTCACATACACACACATATTTATAAAATTATTTAGATGTTAAGTCTAGTTACCTGTTTTTTCAAAATCAAGTGAATTAAAATTATATACACATACTTAATATCTAAACTGTCAAGTGCGTGACTCAGCCATGACAGCCATGACATTTTATTGATATAAAGTAATGCACAGCGCAGTGTCGAGATAAGTAATCAGCATCGCGGAATAAAAGCAACAATACTTGCGAGTATCGATTTAACATGTTTTTTTTTTAAGAGTGGAAAATCTTATAAAGAGTGATTTTATCGGCAGTGAAATGAAAGCGGTCAAAGTGTGTACGTGGATACGTAAATTGACGAATAGTCGTCTGATGATAATTCAGGAATGTAAGCACCGTTGATAGAAGAAGTTAAAATGTACATCGATAGAGTAGTATATGAAATGCACTTATACTACAGGGGATAAATATACATTTATACTTTTATACTGTAGGGAATTTGAAGGAAAGATGAAAAAACTTTTAGTTTATTTTTATTAGAATCAATTTCCTTTTATAGAATATTCATAGATTTTACAATTCTTGATTGTGATTTTATCATGAATTAACCTTTAACAATTGATATTTTTACATTAAATATTTTTAAAAATTAAAATAGTATTTATCTAAAACTTTGTGTGTGTAATTAAAAAATTAAAATTATACATCTATGATTATAAATATAATAATATAATATAATAATAATTCATTGGCAGAATCTTGTATATGATAGAATTAAAATTATAGAGCGAAAATTATATGAATGAAACATATAAGCGATAATGATACCTTCTTAATTACACAATGCAAAACTTGTTACTTTTATTCTTATAAATAGAAACGAGTGATCGTTATTAGTCAATAAAAAAGAGATATAAATATATTTTAATAAAATAATTTTTAAAATATTTAAAAACAGTGACAAAAAATGTCACATTGAAGATATTTTCTTTGTATTTCCATTTATATTTATTTCTTTCTGTTCTTTATTAATTTTTTCAATTTATTATTATTCTTTTTGGTGTCGAAATCCGACTCTCTTTGTCTTTTTCTTTTCCTTCTCCGTTTTTCACAAATACATATAACTGTTGAAAAAGGTATGTTAAAATATATTTATCTGTGAACCGTTACACGACCTATATTGTTTCGATGAAAATAAACTTACATATAAAAATATGTTGGAGAATACAAATGCGCGGGGAGATATATCGCGGCTGATGGAGAGGGCCCCGGACGCGTGGGCCCGACACGCGTGGGGTCCCAGATCCAAGTTGACAGTCAGTCGGCAGCGCGATCTTCGGTTAGCGCGGATGAGCTCCTGCAGTTGTCGGGAATGCGATTTCGGGGGCACCGGTGACCCAGTGGCGCGATTATGCCTTTACGCTATCATGGGATATTTGTCGTCTTATGCGTCGGTGTTACGGTGGCTAGAGCAACGTTTTCGTCGAATGCGGGGAGCGGTGTTCGGTGCATGCTGAATAGTGTCGGCTTGATGCTCTCCTTGCCGGAGATGACGCATCAATGGTCGCTCTTAGAGCTAAATTTCTGGTCGAATCGCGCGGCAAGTAAAGCTGTGTCAAACGAGTTGCTTGAACAGGACGCGACTCGATTTTCCAGGGGTGAGTTAAACAAAATGTAGAACGTTGCGAGTAAATTCAATATATACATGGCATGTTGCTACACTGGATTACGCCGGTCAAGGTTGTAATGTACTTAACAATTGCCGCATCCAGAATGTATGTGTCATTAATCAAAACATTGACAAAAACGTGAAAATTTCGTAGATGGTTTGATTTCTGAATATCTGTGCAAAATCTGCATAATTCTCTTAACGGTTTGAAAATTATTTAAGTTTAAAGTTTGTATTGGTTCTTATGGAAAATCGCCTATTGTAGGAGTTATTAACAAATTTGACAAGGAAGAAACATTGCCAGCGAAATAAAAATTTTCACATCTATTAACAAAATTCTAATAAATATTTGTGCAAAACTTGATTTAGATTCACTTACTCGTTTAAAAGATATTTACTGAAAGTTGTAAATACTTATATTAATCCAAAATCTTCTTGTAAATTATTCATTTTTGTTTTTTTGTAGTTGATTTCAGAGGATATTCACGATCAAAAGTTTTTGTCATAAATTAAATTTTGTCATAAAAATTAATTACAACTATCTTCTTTTATGAAGACGTTAAAAACCATATTATTTAATGATATTTAATTCTTTGTATAATCCAGATTTATTTATTTAATTTTCCAAACGGTATAAACGTAAGAAAAATGTTTTCTTTTTTTTTAAATTTTGACAGCTTTTTGCTACTATTGTACAGTTGAAACATCCTTAAGCCGAAGAAAATTAAACAAGATTACTTATTATTCCCCGTGTTAGCATTTTTAGTTTGCCATCGCTGTTGTTTTCTTGTTAACTCGAGAGAAACGTAAAGAATAAATGCTTCTCTTTGCGATGTACAAGAGGATCCTGAAAACTTTATAAAATTCAGTCACAAAAATTAGTATTTTCTTTGCAGTACGTGAATGTAACAAATGATAAATTGTACAATCGTTTGACAAATATTATTACTGTCAAGTCACTCGTTCATTCCTTCAATCAAAACATGTTATTTCGCTTTCAAGAAGACACGCGAGTAGTGATATAATGGATTATTTTTAGTTTGAGAGAAATTTGATAAAATTAAATTTTTGTTGAAGACCTTGAAAAATTGTTCTTTCGATATAAAATTTAGTTAAAATAGAAAGAGGCAGATGTTGAATCATAAATAATTTTTATTATTTTACTGAATTTTACAAAAGAGGAATAAAGTGAGAAAGAGAGTAACCCATTTATTTATTTTACACGCCTGAAATTTATTTACACAGTGACCGAAAAATAATCGCCAAAAATTGACATTATCGAGTACAGTCTGAGCGAACATGCGGTTCCTTCTTCGCGTTTTACTAACTCCTTTTGCGCAGTGTTAAACTTCTTTCCCGTTCCGGTGGAGGAGGAGTGCCTGTCCGAGGACAAACGACGCCAGGGAATATGCATGAACACATACGAGTGTCGTATCCAGCGCGGGGTATCCCACGGACCGTGTGCACTCGGATTCGGCGTGTGTTGCATATGTGAGTTATCCCCGTAATTTTCATCGTAAACCGCGCCAGTTTTACCTGTCATCATAAGAGTGATATCGTAAAATTCACTCTGAGCGAGAGCACCGATCTGAGAGAAGGATATATTCGAATATCGGCTCTTTTCGCGATATCTGCGATACATTGTAGATATTTCAAAATATATTAAATGATTTTGTTTTCGATTTGTTATTCTCGCTTCTCTTCTCTACGACGGTTTTGTATAGGCTATTTAAATAATTGATCGATCGCATCATTTAAGTTACCCGAAAGTACGTGCGAAAGCCTTTAGCTAGGGATGGTACATATCTTTAGCGTCCAAAGACGATTGCGATTTTCGCAATCGATGCCAAATCGATCAATGAGGCTCTTCCGCTTCTCAATTTAACGGTATCGGGATGGTCGGGCGTAATTCCGAGACGATCTCTTAAGCGGCACACGCTCTCCTCGATAGCGTGAAAGGGAGCACTCGAAGAAAAAAAGGCAAGGAGGAGGAACGGTATACGAGAGCTCGTACGACGAGAGGAAGAACTTGAAGGCCGAGTTATACAGTTATTTAATTGCCTTTCAGCGTGGTCATCGAGAATCGTGTACTGCGAATGGGGCCCAAAGGGGCCCAACGGACCCAACGTCTCTCCTATGTCTTGTTTATGTGCTTTCGAAACTCGCGAATGTAATCGGCACTGCTGATTGTGAGTACATTTTCCGTTTAAAAGAAGATTACGTTTTAAAAAAGATTATAGACTAACACTATAACAATATGTATTATACGTCAATTCGAAGGGTTTCTATAAATTGCAAGGCACAGTTTATAGAAACGCTTTATCATTAACATTTAGCTGATATTTGACTTTTTTAATTAGACGTAAAGCAGTTTTGTTTTGCCTCCGATAAATTTCTTCACGAATTTCAAGATGCTTTTCTCTTAACGATCAAGCGTGATTGTATTCAGCAACTTTTTAATTTCTAACGATAAATTTCTTGAGAATTTAAAAATTCAATACATTTACATTTTATAAAATCCATTTGAAATTTGCTGAAAAGTGAGCATCTTGTCGTGCATTTTTAACTCTAAAATTTAATTTGTCGCAAAATGCTTTTTTGTTAATTTTGTAATTAACCTCTGTATTAAATTCAAGAAAGGAGCGAACTTTAAAGTTTATAAAGTAATGTACCATTTATGTGCATTAATGGAACATTTAATATGAGAGAATGTGCTTTGTAGAGGATATTAGTAGTGTTTTTATAGCGATTCTCTCTTTTCCAAGAATATATTTCAGATCGTGAAACTTATATCAAAAAATAGATGGGCATTTTCGCTTTAATTTTTATACCGCCTCTTTTTTTTAAATCTCCAAGAGTCTCTCGTAGCGCGGAGGAAGTTCTTATACGGCTAGCCTTTTCGCGACCGTTCCATCTTCCGTCTCCGTTTCGTCCAATTGTTCTTTGTTGCTTTTTATCCGGTCTGCATCCATTCGCTCTTTCCGCCACGGTGCATGCTCTGTCGAAAACAGGGCCATACCGTACGTACGGATTCTTGACCGATTTTCCGAACACCACTTCCTACCAGTACGTCTGCTTCTCGATGCATCTCGCATGTCCGAGTTTTGCAATCGCGAATGCGTTATTTCGCGATAATTTATCGATATGAATCTCGAGATGCAATTTGAAGAGAATGTAATACATATATTCGCGCTCACCTGTGTGTATGTGTGCGCGCTTTATGTGAATTTACAAGAGCTCTACAACAGGAACAAAACAAATTTCTGATGCTTTCATCGAAGATATGTGGACGTGACCTTTAGCTATAAATAAATTCTTTATAGCTTTTACGAGATTAGAACGGTGATTATGTAATGAGCGGCGAAGAACGATAGAAAAGAAAATATATATTATATTTATACTATTTATAGATGCAGATCTTTTTGTATAACTTATAACCGTATAACATCTTTCTATTTAAAAATTTTTTTAATTCACGGATAATATATGGATTTATGAATTATATTTTTGTACTCGAGCAAACCTTACTTCTTCAGGACTGTAATTCGCGTCTTTTGTTTCATCAAAATATTTAATTTTATAAATATATATTTAAGACATAAAGTATATATATTTAAATTTTTACGATACATGTAAGCCAAAAAATGTCAAGTTTAAATTAGTCGAAGAATCGTTATTGTTAGAATTAAAGGTGAATGATTTCGAGTGAAGTATTCTGTATATATCTGACATGAGTATATATCTAAATAGAATCTTGGATATTACGTGTGCGATACACGAATGCGTTGTGCTTGCGAATGTTTCGAATCGAAAGCTAACCGGCTGTATCTTTTTCTTTTTGCACTCTTTTCGTCGAATCGTTGAATGCAACGTGCGATGTCAGACGTTCATACATTTTTTATATTGTCCACACCAAGTTGCTATCCCAAGTTACGGGATGTAGGAAGTAAGATTTACATGCAAAGGCGGTAACCGCTTCTTCTTAACCGGAGCGGCGGGCTGTTGAATAGCGTCCCGTGATTCTAAAACGGTCACTGAATACCTGAATGAGAACTCGTTATCGAAGCCGGAGGCTGTTCGCGAGAATATCGCACGATGACGCCTACGGCGGATAGTTCGCGAAAGTATTGGAATGTCTGGCATTTGCATTTAATTCGTTTACGCGGATCTAAATTACGATCAAGAAATTTCGACAAGGATAACTAACTCCTTCTCGTGTAACCAACAGTAATCATACATCATAATTCCAGCATACTTTCAAATCAAAGATCTTTTTTTTTAAATATAGATTAATTCGCGATATAAAATCGATTGATTCCAGAAAATTGTTTTGGAAAAATTATTTAACGTACAGAACACACATGAGAAGTTAACTCGGCATCGAACTCAGGTGTCCGATTTCCCACTTAACTTTAGAAGGCTAATAGCGTCATTATATCGGTGACTTCAATATTGGACGCGCGCCAATTTATTATTTATACAATCCTGTATTAATCGCGAATGATATCTTAACGACTTTAAAAAGATAATCGATGCGGTATTTATCCGTTTCCGCCGACGTAGAAATACATAGGTGCGCAATCCCATAAAAAAATACGAAGCGGAGTCGTATTGGAATGACTAATGTCTAATTAAATATTTCGAAGCACACGCAGCACCGCAACTCTGCGTAACCCGTTAATGTGTCGGTCAATTAATGTGGTTTTCAGTCACGGCAAGCTGCGACAACGAGGTACAGAATAATCTGACCTACGTGACCAGTCCTGGTTTTCCCAACCTCATCGACCGGCCTATGAACTGCACGGTGGTCGTACGGAAGATCGATACGGAGGTCAGTCAGTTGAGGATCGACTTTGTCCATTTTAACATTGTAAGTTTCAGGGATATGTCTTATTGCTGCGACAAGTTATCCACTGATATGGAATCCGCTTAGGCCAATCGCGAACGTCCATTCCCCTAAACGCCGCTTAGTACGCAATCTAATATTCCGCAAGTTGCCAAGACAATGTCGATGCTAATACGAAGCGCGTAAATGAAACACTTTTCTTCTAGGGACTGTGTGACAATGCTTATTTCTTATTGGGAAATCGATATTTAGATGTTGCATTTCTATAAAAGATTCGATTTTCTTCATTTTATTAAAATATTATATTATATTTTAATATTATATTTTATTTATTAGATTTATTTTATATGAATACACATTAGTGTGTATAGTATAGTCCCAAAACTATCAAGGATGTCCTTTTAATAGTTCTATTAATTCTCTGGTTCATTTTTTGGACTCGACCTTCTTTAGCAAAAATGTCGAGAAATATAATTATTTTTTGCAAGTCTTCAATTTGTTTCATCCTATAACTAGATCTCAAATTAAAATTCCATTAAGGTAAATTTTATTTGAAATTAACTCAAGAATGTACACCGTAAAAAAACTATATAAAATTACACAATAAATAACGGAAATTTTATACATTTCTCTATTATTATATATTTATTGTGTGTAATTTTACATTTATTATTCTTATAATTTTGCAATATTTCTTACAGTGTAGTTTTATTTCAACTTTTGATTTTACACAAGTTTAGTTTGCAAAGAGCTCTCTTTTTTTCAATCGTTTAAAATTTGAAAATTATTAACGCCTCGATATTTTCGTTAAGAAAAAATCGTCTCCAAATTGTAATCTACTATTAAAAGAACATCCGGCTTTAGAGCACTGTATACATAATCTTATTGTAAATAAATCAGAGAAAGAGGTAAAGAGAAATTGAAAACAAATTTTAGGGCCAACCGAATGCAACGACTGGTGTTTGCGACGGGGATGTTATGGTAATTAATAACAGCAAGACATCTTTCGAATTGTGCGGATGGAACAGTGGACAACACGGTGAGAAATTTTATTGCTTCATTGCCTTTGTAATCTGTAGCTTTTTCTTCGTAATAAAATCCATCGTTCGCGTTCGCGATATTTCACAAGCGATTTAAGAAAGTAATTTACTATAATAAAGATAAAAATTATTAATAAAATGTATTTTATATTTTATTAATTCAAATATATTTGCTGCTTGATTGAAATAACTAATTCCATTGCAAGTATTTAAATAAATAATTTTTTTAAATCAAAAATAATTTTCTTGGGTTTGGTATATTTTTTCAGTGTATATATACACATATATACACATACACATATATTTTTAATAGTGTACGTGGACGCGAGCGAAGGCAACGAACCGATCACTTTAAACTTCCGGCTGCCAAGCGGCCTGCAATCACGAATGTGGGAGATGCGCGTAGTGCAATTGGGTTTCGAGCAACGGGCGCCAGTCGGGTGTCTACAATATTTTCGCTCGCCGAACGGCACGCTGAGGACATTCAATTATCTGCCCAACGGTCGATACCTCGCCGGACATGATTACTTATTGTGCGTTCGTCAGGAGAGAGACATGTGCGGTATCGTTTATCAGCCGTGCACGCGAGATTCTTTTAGGATAGGACCTGACCGGTCCAACGCGACGAACGTCCTTGCGGCTCCCGCCACGACGAACAACGGAAACGCCTCCGTCTCCGCTATCGTCGATCTCAACAATGTCGCGAATAATTCCATCGCGGATGTCGTCGAAGGCTCGGGTGCGGGATCGCCCGAGCAGCAGGAGATGGTCCTCACCATCGGCACGAACGGTCCGACGTCACCGATCGAGAGACGGTGCAGGGACAGGATACTTATTCCCTGTGATTTTGAGGAATTTATCACGGTACATTGCACGTTTAATTTCATTCAATCATTTGTCGCGAGCGATCGGTAACACAACTCGTTCTCTTTCTTTTTTTTAAATTGTAATCATCGTGTAGATGTATCTCTAGCATAGATATTAAAAAAAAAGTTTGATTAAATTCAATTAAAAGTTTAAATTAAGCCATGAAGTATTATTAGTACGTAACGCGAAATATAAATCGCGCAAGACGCCTGAATATCAGAGTTGATCGGAAAAATCTAATGAATGGAAAAAACCATGGTAAATTCTGATTTTTATTATCTCAGACTTTATCCAATGCAATAAACTGGCAAAATCTATAAAAATAAATAATATTAAAATATATTT